GCCGCCGCCGCCGCCGCCGCCGCTGGCACCGCCTGCCCCGGCGCTGCTGCCGCGGCCGGAGGAGGAGGAGGCGGTGCCGACGTCCGCAGCGCGGACCCTCCTCCTGCCCTGGAGGCTCGCCCAGGTGCTCTTGTCCGCGGCGTGGGCCGCGACCTGCCGCTGGTCGTGGGGGGACAGATCGTTGAATCCGGTGAACTGCACCTCATTCATGCCCGAGAGGGCGGCGACGCACGCCTCCAGGATACTGCCGCCGCTGCCGCCACCGCCGTCCCCGTCGGCCTGCGCCAGCCCCATCCAGACCCGGCTGGGGACTCGCCAGCACTTGAGGTGGACCCAGCGGCCGTACGACCCGGACTGGGCGTTGAGGGAGCCGATGCGGATCTCCCCCTTCCCGATGAGCGGTCCCTCGTCGGGCGCACCGCCGCGCCGACTGCGTGCGCTGGGTACACTTGCTCCGGCCGGACCTGGCCAGCTCCACCTTGTACGGGGGCACCTCCTCCGCCGCCGCGTCGTAGTAGTACTGCCAGGGCATGTGGGTGGTCGACGGGGACGCAGACCTAGCAGTGCCGGCGCCGGCGCCGGCGCCATTGCCATTATAGTCGTAGTCGTATCTGTCCTGTGTCGTCGACTCCGCGGCGGTCACGAACGACGGCACGGCCCGGTCCTCGTAGAGCTTGCGGATAAGCTCCCACGAGGAATTGACGTCGCGGAACTCAGCCGCGTCGCCGCCCTTGTCCGGGTGGACCACCAGGATCTTCTTGAAGTAGGCCTTCTTGATCGCCGTGAACTCCTCCGTGAGGCTCGCGCAGCGCGTCAGCTCGGGCCCGGCGGGGTCGATCCCGATCTTGGCGAGGCACCGCCGCACCGACGTGGACGTGCCGCCGCTGCCGTCGCCGCCATCGTAGTCCGAGTCCGAGTCCGAGTCCGAATATGACATCGGTGGTGGTGGTGGTGGTGGTGGTGGTGAGAGATGAGCGCTTGTTGGGGGTGGCGTGTGTTCTCAAGACGCAGAGGAAGGGCCCTGTTGTTGTTGGAGAACGTCACGCGCGCGCGTTCCAATCCGAAGCGTGCCTGAACGGGCCAGGGTTGGGCATGTGAGTACCAAGTGAGAGGTGTACGCAAGGCGTTGCTAATTGTAGGCATACCGAACCCGAAAAGCACATCATTTTTACTTTGAGAAAGTACATACATAATCTCAAAGAAAGACTATGTACTCGTTCGAGATATACCCACTGTCGAAAGGGATGTGTTGAAGTCTTTTCAGTGAGTGGAGGGAAACCGGCTGGAAACTGGGTATATTTCGAGTATACACTGAATTGTATCAGTGATGCCAGCTGTTACTACTGTAAGAACAAAGGCATCGGTATAGGCAGTATGCAGAAAGCATAGCCATTGTTAGGAAAAGTAAATACACGCACAGAAAGACTACCCGTTCGAGATACACCCGCATTCGATTGTTGTTGACATGCTGATAATTGCGCCACGTTTTTTATGCGTATTTGTACCCAGAGACCCAGAGCGAGCGAGTTACATTGCTCTGCTTTACAGCCAAGTACAGCGCTTCTCTTATGAGTACTGAGTGACCTCCTCACCACTCACACCATCATCGGATTGCAAGAAACAGCAGCGCCCATCGCAGTTCATGTACTCATAGTATAATAGAAGTACTCCTCGGCCGCCAGAATTAGAGGCAGTTTGGCCGTCGCTCAAGGTCCACCGCACACGTTCCAATCCACGCCTCTTGTAAATAGCAATACACGTAGAAACCCGTTTTGAAGGCTAAGCTTTGTCTTTGATATTGGCGAGAGTTGGCTTGTTGCCGTACAACGACCTTGGTGTCCAAACTGCAACCACCACCGGTAGACACTTTTGCACCGCCCAGCGCGGACGGGAGGAGGGCGGGGAACTGATACAAGAACATGAGTTTTTGAAAAAAAAAGTGAGGGCGCGCGTCGGGGGCACACACGCTGGTCAATCTACTATAGCACGAGAAATGCTGGATTGCCAGCCCGTACCTTCACAACAGGTGTCCTAGGTGGCGGTGTAGCTGGTACGTTGGACGGGAACGATGCCCACGCGGTGGAGACAAGGCCTTGAACAAGGCAAGGTGTGGGTTGGGGGGTCCGCAGAAATTATGAAAATACTGGTACTGCCAGGAACCACCGCACCGCAGCCCCACTACCAAACAAAGCAGAGTTCTGTTTACACGCACCGCGGTTGTAGATCCATGTTTGGTTGGGCGTTGTGTGCGAATACTACTTCGTACGCTCGGTGACGACATGCCCGGTCATAGGTCCCAAGCATGCGTGGGCTTCGTATACCAACCGATCACCGACAACGGTTGATCAGTGGAAAAACCTAGTATACGTCGGGACAACCACCGGCGGACGAATTCCCATGTCCGAAAAATGGAATGATTGCTGTAAAATATAGTCTAATAAATCATTTACTCTTTTTGAAACGAACCTAGTATACGTCGGGACAACTACCGGCGGGCGAATTCCCATGTCCAGAAAAAGGAATGATTGCTGTGTCTAAATCATTTACTCTTTTGAAACGAACAGCTTTGTACATACATCATCACATCATCAACGGGCGAAGAGATGAAAGTTGCTGAAATTTTGCAAGAGAAAAGGAAAACACCACGCACACTTTGTACAATACGCGGACGGACGGGTGGGTGTCATTCAACGAAAGTTACGGTACATAGGAATGCAGCGGTGGTGCATGCAGCACGCGGGCCATCAGGCAAAAGCGAAACCAGTTTTCGCAGGACAAGAAGCTGTTTGTATGCACGTGTGTGAGATAAGCGTGTCCGCTTTGTACTTACGGCGCGTGTGCCGTGTTTCCCTACTCCCTTTGGCCTCGTTGATGTGATGTTGTCGATTACCGGTAGAGATGTGCTGTATTCTACCGCGAACCAGAAAAGACACCCTACGCTGTCACCGGGAAACGGTACTTTCTAGTGATCGATATCGTTGCTCTACTCGCGCGTCGGCCACACTGCAATCGCGCAAGACAAGAGCTCGTTCCTTCGTGCCGTGCGTAGCAGCAGTCACAAGCACGGCCGTTCGAAATTAAAAAATGGTTCAACCACTCCACGAACCGATTCGACACTAAACTCCAATGAAAGACACTGCAAAACACCGCGAACCGACCAACTTTTCCCGCAAAACCGCAAAAACACAAAGGACACGAAAGAACACAGTGGCCCGACCGCCGCGAGAGAAAGCAGCCAGCGCAGTCACACTACAACCTCTCGAACGCCAACATCGAAGCGATCCTGGGCCGGATCAAGACAAAAGGCCAAAAATATGCTTGAGCAATACGTTTACAGCTTGATTGGCCTACGAAAAAAACACAACACTTGCTCGCCGCCCCAAACAATAATCGTAATAAACACCATCACACTTGAGCTACTGCAACACCCACAGCAGTAGTTTGGCAATTGCGAACGTTACACAGAACAACGGCCCGCTTTTTAAAAGTCCAATCCATTGAGCAACTGCCGTAAACGCAAGACACCGCGCTTCGTCCGCTGTCATCGCCCTTCCGACGAGGCCATCGGGGGCGAATCTCTCCCGCCCGAGTCACCGGGTTCGTTGTCCGGCCAACGCTGAGTCCCTCCCAGGCCCAACCGAAGGACGTCACCGCTGTCTTCTTCTCTCCGGGGCGATTCCTGCCCCTGCAACAAGCGCTCCTCCTCCCACTGCTGCTGCTGCTGCTGCTGCTGCTGCTGCTGCCGTTGTCCCCCACCCCCGAAAACCTGTCCCGCTCCGTCCGCGGGACCCGGGGAAGCCCACGCTGGTGACGTCATGCCCCTCCCGCTGACGACAGCTCCGCTCCCCCCCGCCCCAGCGTGGGCCCTACCGCCGGCGGCGCCGCCTCCTCCCGCTGCTGTCCAACTCCCTCCCTCAGCAGCCTCCCCGCCATCATCCCGTTTCCGATGATGCCCATCAGATCCATCCTCGTTGCCATTCGTCGCTAACGTTACATCGTTGGTCTTGTTGCTTCTGACACCAGCGGTGCTCGCGGCACCAGGACCCACGGTGTAGGGCGACGCTCCTCCTCCTCCTCCTCCTCCTGCTGCTGCTGCTGCTCCATCAGGACAGCCAGAGGCTGTTGGGGGGGAAGGTTGCCCTCCAGCCGGTGCAGCAGCAACGTCGGCGGCGGCACCGGCCACGGCGATAGGGTCTCTCAGCGGCTTGGTTGTCTCCGCCGGCCCACCCCTACCCAAAAGAGCGTTCCCTGCAGGACCAGCCACTGCTTGTCTGCCGTCCGGACCCTCCGCGGCGGGGACTGGTGCATCAGCCTGGGGCACCGCCGAACCAGCACACGCCGGGACGGGCGTATTTTCTGCCCTCTGCGTCTCCCCCGCTTCATTCTTCTCCTCCTGCTCCTCGTCTCTGCTCCCGCTCGGGGGGGAGAAGACCGGCACGACACCTTGGCCCTCTCCTTCAACGCCCCGATCGGTTTCTCTACGAATGTCCACCCCGTCCTCTCCGCCGCTGCCGGTGGCTTCGGCAGAATCGGAATCACCGCTAGTTTCGGTGCCGCTGCCCCCATGCCGCCGCTGAACCGGATCCGCGGCGGCTGTTCGGGCATATCCTATTCCGGTCGTCGTCGCCGCCGCCGCTCCCACCGCCGCCTGCCCATCAACCGTCGAAGTCTGCAACACCCTCCAGAAGGAGAACGGAAACGACCCCAGCAGCGGCGCAGACACGCTATGTCTCCTCGTGTGCCTCGCCAAGACGTCAGACCTGCCGTCACCTCCGCCGCTACGGTCCCCGACCCACCCGCTCGGAACCGGCCACCCCGCCGCCGCCCGTCGAGCAACCGGGCTTGTCGCTCGTACGTCAGCGCGCGGCGGCTCCAACGCGACCGGAGGCGACGCTGCCGCAGGCGCCTCGGCAGCCGTAGCGGCAGCGACGCCGTCGCCGCGCGCGCTGCCGCTGCTGTTGCTGCCGAGAGGCGGCGATGGGCTTGTCGGGTCCGGGGAAGAGTTTCTCCTCGAGATGACGCGGCCCGCGTCTAGTGCAGCAGCGGGCAGGATAGACTCCTTGGCGTGGGAAGAAAACCAAGAGAGAGCACAACACGTGCATGGACAGGCACACGGGGACGCCGGCCGGATAAGAGACACACGAAAGCGGGTAGCAGGCGGTAAGGACGTTGGGCGCCTAAACAGAACCGGCTGGTGCGCTGGTAAGAACATCGGCTGCCAAAAAATTCACCCAAACGGATAACAAACGAATACACTGATGAGAAAAAGGCCGTAAGAGCGACTAACATCTCCAACACGAAAGAACTCGCTGCTTGATCATTTCAGCCGACGCCAAAGAGGGCGTGCCTCGGCGGTCGGGCCAAACAGTGGGCAAAAAAATACCCTTTCGTCGGCGTTGGCGGTTTCGCGTGGCTCAACCGTCACATAGGTCGAAACGTCTCGACTATCCACCCAGCACATATCTCGCCCGCTCGCCCGCCAGTAACGCTATCCCCGGCGGGCCGTAACGGACGCAAAAAGGAAGCAAGACATAGCAACGGACGACCCCCAGTTTCAGCGACTGCATTAGCGCCCACGGGAGAAACAGTACCAACACACCTCTCGCGGCTGCTCGAGAGACGAAGCCGTGGCCGCCCGCTGCCTCCCCGTCGCCGGCACATCGCCCCCGCCGCCGCTGCCGCCGCCGCCGCCACCCGGGCGCGACATGAGCGGCATGCCCATCCCGTGGGGGTCGTACCTCGGCACGACTCCGATGACCATGCCCGCCTGCCGCGGCCGCGAGGCGGAGACGACCCCCGCCCTCAGCGCCGGAACCTGATTGGTGGGTCGGGAGTTTGATCGCGCCGCACGCAATTTAGAGAGGGAAACCAAGGAAAAAAACAACCCACACGTGAAACCAGGTACATCAGAGAGCACGTGCCGTAAAGTTGGGAATCGATGCGCAAGGGATATGCATGTAAAAGAGGAGAACAGTTAACCTCGTGGACATATCTTGTTTTTCGATCTTGGCCGACCGTTGGTATGCCTCCGTGATATATTCGGTGGGGGTATCCATGAGCCCATCCATGTCTTTCGAGCAAGAACCTTCAATGGGGAAACGCATCATCAGGGAACTGTTCGTGCCGCGTTAGGTGCAGCCTGAATCGTGCGATGAGAGAGAGAGAGAGAGAGAGAGAGAGCCCTGGGGGAAGCCAACCAACGTGGTTGGCAAACACTTGGCAGAGAAGCAATGTTATGGTTTATTCTTTCAGAAAACGAAACAAGAGTTCCCAGAAAAAAACAAAAAGAGGGTTGGACAGATATCGCCGCTACTTCTGCTGCCGATCCGGGACCGTTCCTGCTTGCTGCCGTTGTACCACTGCAACCGCTCGCCTCGTATCTGTTCCAGCAAAAGAGCATGGAGTGCTGCAGGAAGAGCACCGTGGTCACCAGCGCCAGGTAGCTGAAGCCGAAGGGAAAGGAGAAGAAGTAGATGTGGAACAGCGTGAAGTACAAGAAGAACACCTGGGCCACGCGACAATAACGAAAATGGGGGGGGGGGGGGGGGGGGGGGGGGGG